CCGCGCGCGCCTACGTGCCAGGCCTCCAGAAACCCAAGGGAGTCAGCGACGGCGAGAGCGGGCGCAAGCGTCCCTATTCGACCCGACGGTGCACTGAGACCAATACCCTACCCGCGGCCGTCTGGCCCTGTCCCTGACCGGTGACCGGAGGCGTTTGTACACGCGCGCACGTGGGCGTTGGCGGCGCACCGGCCGGCGGCCAACAGCCAGTGGGACGGACGACTGACAGAAAAACCGACGGTTAATTTGACCGGCCGGCATGCGGTACAACTTTAGCAGGGAAGGTGTACCCGTCTACGTCCTGTGGCACTGTGCTTGGCTTATCACCATACGCATGCGGTTAATTTGACCGACGGTTAGTGTGACGAAGGCAACTTTAGCAGGGAAGGTGTACCCGTCTACGTACTGTGGCACTGTGCTAGGCTTATCGCCATACGCGTGCGGTACATCTCGCATAGCCTTGTCTAGTCGATTTTCTGTCTATTCCACACACGTCATCATCCATTCATCGAATCATTCATGCATGTTTGGTGTTGCTGTACGCGAGCAGGTTCTTCAGTCCCATTCGATTATAGCCAACGCTTTTATCCGTGCTCTTTTCTCTTCTTCCACCAGTCGAACCTGCATTATCCCTGTCGAGCACGTGAATTTTGTGGCCTGAAGACTCGTACAGACTCAGGATATTATTACTGAACCTGTTTTGTGGATGCATGGATCTATGACAATCTTTGCCAAGGAGAGAAGGACGCTGAAAAGATCGTGTCTGTAGTCTGTACATAGCCACATGGACTATGAACATATTGTGACTGGAGAAATGAAATCCGTGATAAAAAGAGAACGAGCTCTATACAATTTTTTTTTTAGAAATTAAAATTGCTCTGGTTTTAAGGGGCATGGAAATAAGAGTCAGAAATTTCGATCAAAAGTACGAAGTGCAATGCAATGATTACAAAGCTGACTAACTAGCTTTTATATAGTAATTAATATCATTACAGATATACAAGTCAAAGCTCAACACTCAGGATTGCAGAATCCTTTCCTTAAGCGTCGTCCCGAGGTACATGTCACACAACCTTCTTTAGTCCATCTCCATCGGCATCAAATGGTCGATTCGTTCGTCGCACGATCATCCACATTTGCAGCTGCTGCTGTAGGTGAGTAGGCGCTTGCACTCAGGGTCTCAGGCAGGCTCCTCCCATTAGCCAACGTGCTCAATTTCATCCGCCAGACGAATCTGGATTTCTTGGCGCTCACGTGACATCTGTGCCGTGAAGACTCGCAGTATTATTGCTAGTACACGTGAGACTGCTATTAGGGCCTGTTTAGATTGATGCCCACGCAAACGGTCTATTCGCTGGTTGGTTTCTGGACTGATAAATCCGACTGATGCTGGTTTATTGTGAGAGAAAAACACTGTTGACTGACTGATAACCTCTGCCTAAAATCAACAAGTGAACAGACTGAAAGTTACCTCAGCCATGTCAGGCGTTAGATTTCCTAGCGCTGCCTAGGGACAGGGAGTCGTCGAAACAACCTATACCCGCGTGGATGGATATGCCTGCACGTATGACAGATCTATATACGTCTTCACTTTTCCTGGTAGTCCTTGTTTGAACATAGTTGGATTCACATTAATTCACACGTGTTGAATGGATTTGGATGAAAATTTAAAGTGAAATTTGAACTAAATTTCCACCCAATTCACCATAACACATGTGAATTCAGGTGAATCCGACAACATCGGGGCTTTAGGAATATCTATAGACATATTCCTAAACGAAATTAGGCAGAGGTAAAATTTCAGGAATCTAAATTACACTGGGAAAGGATAAAATGGGGGAGGTTCATATCCCAAATTGTTCTGTTTTTTTATGGACAAGCAAAAAGTTCACTGTTTCTTTTTTGAAAAATGAAGCCCACGAATCTAGAAGCTGATTGACTATGAACAGATGCCGCAGTCCAAGTCAATTCTCAACGTTTTAAAGGACCACTTAATCCATGATTGATCAGACTAGTGGTCCGTATAAAAAACTCACAAGGAACAATAGGACCAACGTCAACAAAATAATTTTCAACAATTCTAACTTCAAAGCTGGACTGGACAAAACCATCTCGCTCAAACATCTGGCTCCTATAAGGTTATCACCCTGCCTACAGTTATCTCTATGTGCCTTAGCCAGATAAAACAAAACAATATTTAGACTGCACTGCAACTAAGGCTCATCATTTTAATTACCACTGTGTGCTGAAAAAATCTTTTGGCTGCGGCCATTATTTTAACTAGGTGTAGGTGAATTATGTTTGTTAAAATAATGCTAGCCATGCTATAGGCTTCTTCGCAGGCATGGTATTGCACAGAACAAAAATAATTCCTAGGAAGATCTTTAATGACACATAACAGGCATGACAAAATTGGGAAATAGACAGCATTACACAACTTGATATCAGTGAAAAAATGGTGACCCTAAGCCATTATTTTGGTACATCAAGATAAAACACTTCATTTTCAATGTGACAAATTGAATATGTCACGGACAAAGTTGCATACATCAGTTAGAGCTGGTTGGGGGAACTTGTTTGGCAGTCTCAAAAGAATACAAGATGGGCCTGCCAACGTCTGGAAGAAAAAGACCTGAAATTAAGGGGGGAAAGATAAAAACAATCATAAGCCCCGGAATACATCAGTTTGGTAAATGACCTGTGCACAACAAATACCAACCTTATAACTAACTTCATTTTAGGGGGGTGGGGGGGTGATAAAACCAGATATAACTTCATTTTTTACAGAATAAAATAACTCTAAAATCGCCGAACATGCTAACTGTAACTCATGCATAACAAATGTCAATATTTTAAGACCATACCCAAGTGATCAAGGATACACTCCCACAGTTCTACCAATACTATATCCAAACATTAATTAATTGAACTTTTAATACTTTTATATACAATTGCCTTGAGAGTTGAGATTATATACAGGCTTGTCACAAAGCAAATAAACATACGCAGTTTGCAATGTAGACTTAATACTAACTATCAAAACTGCAGCAATGTAGACTTAATACTAACTATCAAAACTGTGTAATTCTCTAGTTCGGTATTGTCTAATCGCGGGCTCCTCGCTCGTCCATAGACAATTCCTTATAAACTTTGTTACCCCCTTAATGAAACACATGCAGTTTACATGTTCGCGGAAAAAGCAAATAAACATAGACAATGGAAACTTATGATGTTCAATGGAAAAGCAGTAGGTGACAGACAGTCAGTACCCAGGGGCCAGGCACTGTGGAGAGCAGGAAATTCTATGTCCAGAATAAGGGTATTCAGGAAGAATAGGTTGTTCCAGCTAGACACTGTCAAGAATTCCTGACTATTGCATGGAATCATAATTCATGTTACAAGTATTTTTCCTTTCCAATATTTTTCTATTAGAGTTTCTCTCATCCCTTTTTTTGAGCATAATGATGCAAATTGGACTTTAATGAGTTCTAATATGCAGCGCCAAGCAGTTTCTATTTTCTTGGTCCGAGAAGATAGCAGAGTAAGACCTCTAAGCAAAACAAGTTGCATTTCAGATAATTTCCCTTGAACAAAGGTACGTTTGATCAAATATCTCCAAATGAATTAAGTGTAGTCATATGATCAAGTATTAAGAAAAATGCATGCTGCACTGCCTAATTAGCATAGGAGGATACGACGCGGGGGAGGGGGGGGGGGGGGGGCGCAACAGCATGAAAGATAAAGATGTCTGCTACTTAAAAGCGTGATCATGTGGAGAACGACAAGTTTAGATTCAATTTGAATTGTTAATTGCCATAACCTTCAAAGCGTTTTTTTTTCATTCCTGACTTTTACTACAAGTTTTCAAGACAGATAAAGAAAGAAAGACCAAGCATCAAGCCAATTAAGACAGCAAAGAAGTGTGACCGGTAAATGAAAACTTATCATCAGAAAGATTTTTTTTTGAGAATACATCAATAGAATAGATGAACAAAGAAATTTGCCACTTTGCACTTAGAAACTATACAACTATTATTAGATGCAACGTTGATACACATCATTTCTTCCCAAATTGCAATCAGGTCCCAAGGCACAAAATAACATACTACAACCATCACCAGCAACAGCGTATCTACTAACAAAAGGTCAACTAACACACCTCGAGCTACTGGACAAGCACTTTTAGAGTGTATGAAGGAAATCACCTTGCCAGTTGAGGCAGCAAAAGGTCATAATATGTTCATCTGAAAAATGAACCATCATGGTACCAGCATAAATGCAACTAGTATCTATCTAAATCAACTAGTCCTGTTTCGGTTTGAGGAGAGTTGTGTTCTTGGATAGTGCACGCCCTCTGTATGTTTTTTTTGGTTTTGCTATGAGCCGTTTAGTTGTTTTGGGGCGTGACTTGTGTCTGTCTGTAAAGTTTTTTGTACAGTTCCTTTTTATTTTATAGCGTCTAATAAAATCTGCGGTAAACTTTTGCCGTCCTTTCTAAAAAAATAAATAAATAAGAACGTGCTTCAAAATCCTACTGATCAAAAATCATGCTGGAACACTTGACATGCCTAGAGTCACAGAACAAGCATTGTGATCTAACGAACCTGAAGAACACAACTATGTTCGTTTTTTTTTGAATGTCAGCTCTTCTATTTTCAAGTTCAAAGTGAAGTTTCTTGTTCATTATCAGTATTATATCACCCGAATCTCCGATGCGAGGCTTCCCCGCTTGATGCTACTAAGTAATCTAGAATTCCGCATACGCACAACAAACTAAGGAATATCCTGACTCCCATCAATTTCGGATATGTCACAAACCGAGCCAACAAAAAGCATCTAACACGAAACAGATTTGAGTGGCAGAAGAATAAAACCGCAACCTGCATCCGGGAGGTCAGGTCGCAGTAGAGTAATGCACACACACAAGGCTACAGAGCAGTGGATCAAGGATTCGTGAAGGCGTGACTGGGAAAGTGGGAAGAGAGTTACCGAAGCCGGCGATGAGGCAGGAGGCGGCGACGACCGGCTCCTGCACCACGAAGATCCTGAGCCTCCCCATCACGCCCATCGCTGCTGCTGCGGTTGCTCCTCTTCTTCGCCGAGATGGGGATGGGAATGGGGATCGGCTGTGCGCGGTGCGCCTGTGCCTTCCTTCCTTCCGTCGACTCGGCGGTCGGCGCGACCCCTTCGATGCTGATATTTTTTTTTTCTCAGTGTCCTTTTCGTCTGGCCCATGGTCCCAGCTCGACACCTCCGTGGGCCGGCCCAAGGGAAACTCTCGGTCTGATCACTTTTGGCCCAACGGACCCGTGCCGTCTGCCAGCACCCAGCAGCCTACGCCAAAACCGCTCGGGAATCAGATGAGGATGAGGTGTGGCCGTGTGGGACCGTGAGAGACTCGGCTACCTCTCCTGCAAAATGGCTATGGCAATTGCTTCCTTCGTCGCCGCTTCGCACCACCACGGCAGACACCTGGCCGCCGGCTTCCCCTTCTCCGCGCGAGCAGGCAGGAGCATCGGGCGCAGCGGCGCCACCATCTCCATGAGAACCCAGGTGGACGCACAACCGGAGCTAACTTCCTCCGTCTCTCTTTGTTTCTCCTCCCACTCCTCCCCCAATTCACACGCATTTGCCCTTGTTTTGTTCCATTCTCTCGCAGAAGAAGAAGAGCAATAGTGACTCTGGGAGCAGTAGCGGAGGTGGGGACGGGCGGGCCAGCAGCGAGCGGCGAGTGTGGCGTCGTCGGAAACTGGTATTTGCATCAACCAAACAATGCTTGGAATTTCATACTTATCTCACTCGGCATGGTAGCCAATGAGCACGCTAGAAGGAGAAGTTTGCTATCAAATTTTGGAAGCAGTAGAAGATTATGTAATCTATACAAAATTTGAGGGCGGCATTCCCTGTTGCAGTATAGAAATATATTTTTTCGTTCGCTGTTAAGGATGGGAACAGTTGTGTTTAGCAGTTCAGGAGGCCTGAAAAGCATCATCGGTGTTGTAGTTCCAAGATCATCAGTACTATTGCACTAGCTGTTCTGAGTGACAATTCCCACTTCTCTTTTGGGTTAACATTGTAGCCTTATTCACCCTTGGTTCATTTAAGTGAACAGACAGGCACAAGTATGGCACACCACAGTTGTTTATGCAAACAATAGAATGCAAATTGCAATGAATTTATGTAGCATTCACGTCTGTCTTTGGTTATGTGTGTGGGACAATCTTTTATCACCCTTTTGAATTCACAACGTTTACTGACCTTCATATATGCATCACACTTAATATATATCATACTTGCAGACCAAAGAAGATGACATGTTGCGTTACAAGTTGGATCGTATCCCTTTCTTAGAAGAGAAAGTGAGAAAAGTAAGGGAGAATGGGAAGATCATATGCCTGGACATTAATCAGCTAATGTTATCTCAAGAGAATAGATTTGCATTCACCATGGAGGTGGCTGAAGAAGCTAATGCCTATCTTGAGAAGAACAGGCATGAATATGGGTTGAAGAAGCCTATACTGCATGTTCTCAGTGACCGCATGAATGAAGCTGGGTTTTCTCGGCCTGAGGGTTACCTTTATCCTTATCCTATCAAGCCTGGTCCTTATTTCATTAAAGAGGAAGGAAACTGAGTAAAATCACGTGCTACTTGGTAAGTGCATTTGACAATTTACTACCAGTTGTTTCTTTTTTGTACAGTTTTTCCTTTTGCTTTTTCAGTCTGTCTGTTTCATCAGCTGTACCTGTGAGATGAGTGTGGTGGCAATCGACATGCAAGAGGGCCTGTTTAGTCAAAATTTGAAGAAAAATGGATGAACACATAAGTATCATGCTAAGATGATGCACTGCCTCAAGTAGTCAAATATGCTTTAGCAGTTTTATCAAAAAAAAAAAGTATGCTTTAGCAATTAGCAGTACACATTTTCAGGTGCCAAAAAAAGTACACATAGGTGCCATTTATATGAGCTAGTCTCAACTTCATCCCGCTAGACTGTTTATATCGGATAGACAGATCCAAGTATCTATATGGCTCATTGTTCCAATTGGATACATAAAGACACAACAGGGTTCCAAATATTTGTATCGTGGGTTAGCTGTAGCAAGAGAATAATCTCCCTCATATAACCCCATTCGTGTAGTAGCATCTTCACACAATTATATGCAGATTGTATAATAAGGAGCTTAGTGGTCTAGCCATTCCTGCCCCCAATCCCAGGCCTTCTGCGTGGATCATGCCTAGAGTTTGCCCCTCCATAATCATAATCCTGAACCTCTGCAAGAATCTTTCTGCTATGCCCCTGTATTCAGAGGATAAAAGCATACATTGGTTAAGCTAATGAGCAAAGAAACCTAAACATAAAAATTCTGATATTTGTTGACATGATTTTAGGGTTCAGCAGGCCTCATCATTATTGTCAGTTTATAAGATATTGCTATATGATTCTTTCAACCATTACTATCTATAGTGAAGATGACAATTTTTTTGCTGATTCCATATCTCAAATTTAAATAATAACAGAGGAGGACAATTGACAGACCTTTGTTAACCTTGCAGTAACAGCATTATCATTTTCGACAACTATAGTTTGGCCTGCATTAAGACAAAAAAACATGTTCAGGTATGGTATTAATGGTCTAGCAATTAATATATTGCACAGAAGCAAGAGCGAACCCCATACCTGCAGATACATTGAAGAGAAGAATTAAAAGGATGACACCGAGTGCAAAAGTGTCTTTAGGCATATTGTTCTCTTCTACTGGTATGTTATTGCCTTGGGAGGATTCATGGGGACGAGATATCACACTTCTGCCCCTTTTATACATGGATGCTGGCTGAGACAGCTAAAAATGAAATAAGTTGTAACATTAGGTATGGCCTACCAGTAATGATTCCTCTACAGGGTTATGATGAAACACATCATCCCACAGCACAAGGTCAACTACATTTGGCACTTGGCAGAAGCTACTTTAGAAGTTGTACTGCCTTTCTAGTAACTAAGGCCAAAGTAAACTAAAACCTATCATGTTTTAGTAGTTGATATGTTTTCTATGTCTTTTGTATTCTACTTTTCTGACCTGCACCAGACTATGAAATGATACCTTAGTCTTGGAATGCTACATAGCATTGGGTATGCTTGTAGTTCTTTGGTCATGAATGCATGCTTAGATTAACTTCTATGGATCTCTATTATTTTATGAGCATTAAAGCATTTTCTATAATGATGATGATGATGCAATGATGGTTACACGGCAGGCCTCTATACTAGTAATTGTTGTGGCAGGACTCTGCATCTTATCAGGATCACATTTAGCTATAATTTTTCAGTAGTTCAAAACTTGAAATACTATTATACAGTCAGCACATCCGTTTTAACAAGTCAAAATTATATCAAATAACCAAAAAGAAGATCTGCTATCAGTATAAAATTGGAGCATCCATTTAAGAGTCAAAATGTATCAGATAACCAAAATGTCGCTGTACTAGTATAATAACAGAACATCTGAGCGACAATATATCAAATAACCAAAAGTGTATACAGTGCACCCACTATTGTATGGTAAATGGCTAAATGCATAGCAAAAGGATCTGGAATAGTAAATGGAGTGAGTGCGCCCTGACTGCTATGCCACAGTTTGTAAGAGGATAGTGGAGTGAGGGAACATAATGGAAATGGAGGGAACTGCAAGTGCAAGTGCAATAGTACCCCCCAATAATACCCTTCCACCTTAATAAAAATTAAAAAAGGCCCGTCCATCAAAGAAAAATTTACTGGTTAATTTTGGTTGTGGGGGGTCCTGTTTGAGATCTTCCCTATCATGTGCTGCTTATAGGATTAACATATGCGCATACATATTCTGTGGATTTGTCTTGTTGCGTGTCTAGGTTATCTTTCTGCTATGTATCATATGCACCTTTTTATGGGAGAATTTATGACCTAACCATGCACATATCCACTGTGCAAATTAGGAAGCTTATGACCAAGATGCAGGTTTGTTGTTGGCCGCTCATTATGTCATCCTAGGCAGCGAGCACCTCTATGAAGTTGACCATCTATTTGTTCACTTGTGAGATTTTACGAGAGTAAAATGCAAGCAACAGGAAATCAATTTCAGAGTCGCCACTTTACTATAGACTAGCCACTAGTTGTTCACAGCCCAAGTGTGGCTGGATTTTAGAAATTGGAAACCCCACTACCTTGTTGTCATGCTGTGTGACACCACGTACAAAGGTCGTCTTGAACAACATGACTGCACATGCAAAGAGGATATATTGTGACCTGAAAATGTCAGGATCATACCATATCCTCATTGGTGTTACATATGTGAGAATGCATAGGTGGCCGTGCAAGTATTTGACTCAGACTGACGAAGACTTTTGTACCTGACGGCAGCTCTTTACTTATAGGAAAATAAGAAACTCCAAACAGAGTTGGAGGGATGTGGCGCACAAGCTAATGATCGCACATTCTTATTGACTCCAGGCAAAAGCATTGTGATAATCGTGTGTTTCTTAGTGTTTGAGTAGTTGTCCAAAGTTGTTTCATACAGGAGGTGTCCGATTGTTCTGAACCACTCCATAGCACTAATAAGATTATAATAGTAAAAATCACTATCAATTGTTACTTATTTGTTCTTACTTAAATTTAGAAGCCTCCTTTTGGCCATTGAGGCAACTCCCTTTCTTATATGTTTGTCGCACAACATGTTTTGGGCAAAGCAACATGTGTGTTTCTGAAGTTCAAAGCAATCTCCTGCTCTTGTTGCAAACTTTGGAATAGAGTAAGAGTATCATGTTCGGAATGTCCTAACTAAAAGTCCTTTTAGTTTTAGATGCATACTTTTTTTTAGAATTCCTGTGAAAGGGTACTTGCTGGACAGGTGTATTCCACCTGAATGCTGTATCTGAACCTTTTGTGTCTTTGCTTAATGCTAAGACTGGGGCAGAGCCCTAAAACTAAAAAAAAGTAAAGGGCGTACTCAGTGCAGAGAGCTTCTGCTCTGTGCGGGGTCTGGTGAAGGGTGTCAGTGGCAAGCCTTACCCTCGTCTGTGCAATGCGAGGAGACCGCGACTCGAACCCGGAACCTTCCGGTCACAGGTGGTAAGACTCTACCGCTTGCATCAGGTCGGCCCTTAAAAAAACTCAAAAAAAAGTGAAAGGTAAATTTCTAGTTCATGCAGCTCAGGCTGCATAAGGCAGATATGCTGGTAGCTTTTATTGCCTTCAGGCAGTTCCCTGATGGTGATTGACTTTCTATCTCCTGTATTTCTGATAGGGAGATAGCAGGATATTCGTGTGTCACTGTTAATGCTGTCTTTGTGGTATTCCATTTTGGGATTTCTTTTCCTCACAAGAAATCACTGGGTCCAGCGGAGCAAAGCTAACATCACTAATGCACGACGCCATGCTTATGGCTTCTAATTTGACATCATTACATTTATGCATGTGCAGGATTATAAAGCACAAGCTGGGAGCCTCTTTTCAGAAGGAAGCAGTCCTGGAGGGAGAAATCTTCTGAAATATATGTCAAATGCTCGGAAATCAAGGTGGTAGAGTTCAGAAGTGTTGCTTGGTTTAGTATTAATGCAAAGCGAAGACAACGAAGCCTTTCTGTTTGGCTGGTTGTATTTGTTGCTTCAGAAAAAAACCATATTGTTAAGGCTGGAAAATTACGATCGTTTACGACAAGCCACAGCCAACCGAACAAGCTGTTAGTCATGTATACACTATACACTCTACAGTTGGGAGAAATCAAGAATTCTCTGAAACATATTGCGTAATCAAATGCTCGGAAAACTTGAAATCAAGGTGGTCGATGTCAGAAGTGTTGCAATAACATCTTAGTATTAATGCAAAGCGAAGACAACGAAGCCTTTCTGTTTGGGCGGTTGTATTTGTTGCTTCAGTGCTAACAGGAGACCATATTGCTTAAGCAAGCATCTCTACTATAATGGATCAATCAAAATTGTACTTAGAACCCTCAGAAAAAAGTCTCCCGCTGAGAGCCTTCAACCACTGTGCATCCAGAAAATAGATGCATGTAATTCATTTACATTAAAATCAAGAGCTAATAAGATACCTAGACCAAATCCAATGAGCATGATTGGGTTGCCAGGCTTCTCACCCCGTGCCCTCCTTACACGCCGCGACCGCTCCGCCGCACGCACGTCGCCGCCGCCTGCGAATTTGGAACGGGAATGGCGCCCCCTGGAGCCCACTAGCGGCGAACGCACGCCAAGCAGCGATGAACAAGCTGGTTTGAAAATGGGAACGCAGGCAGGACGGCAGGAGCGCACTGCGCACACGAGGAGGTCGGAATCGAAGGAAGGATAATTCGCAGTTTTTTTTTGGCGACTGATAATTCGCAATTGATGAACACAGATACTCAGGAAAGCAGATGAGCCAGCTGGTGTCAGGAGCTGTTACGACGAGAAAATTAATAATTTAGTTTATCATCTACCATGTACAGCTATCGACTTCACTGAAGATGGAATTCTTGACGGATATTTTGAAGAGCCGTGCAAAAGAATATTTTGACAGCTTTTCCAAAGATCTCTAAGTCATGATTAAGGACTTAGACATAATGTAACTTAGATGGTTAATACGAAAAATAACTTTACTATGCCTTCTTA